ACACAATAAAAACAAGCTTGTGTGTGCGTTCAAAATATGTTTATATTATCCTTCTTATCTTCTTGTGAAAAGTCGGACTCAGTCTACTTTGTAAAGGTATAATGTTTTCTCAGCCTTTATCAAAACATAGCTTGTACGATGTGTGAAAGCATAAGTTTTCAATGGAAACATTCCCAAAATGTTTTTCATATCTCTCAACGTCTTTTTCTTGGGTGTAGTGATTCTAATTAAGACTTTGTTCTTTTTGTTATATGCACAAATAACAAGAACAAGGTATACAAGCATCAAAACATTTTATCATCATAGATGCATTAAATATTTTGAATGTTGATAAACGTTAAGCTGCATTGCGTGTTCAAAATATTTTATCATTTGTCAACTCATTAATAAATGCTTCGTTTAGGAAAACATTGAACATATATGATCATCAAATGGTGTAAAACATTAGATGTTTTATCAAAAGTTGCTTGAGATATGCAATGTTTATCGAGCGTTTATTAGATGATACATTTCATAAGATGCTTGCTTGAATAAAAAATATTTTGAATAAAATACTATAAGCTTCAGTGTGTTTATGAGATAGACGTTTCCATTAATAAGACACTTACTTGTAAAACGTTGTTCGTTTAGACGTTTAGTTTGAAAACACTATTCTATAATTCATTATATGATTCTTTATGAAAGTCGTTTCCTTCATTTATACATTGTTTATAAAGATTTGTTTGCTAGACAATATAGTTTAGAAAACGTTAATATAAGCTTGTTTTTGGTATAGAAAAGATGTTCCAAAATATTTTTCTCTTAGACGTTTTTCTTTAAACAATATTTCATGGCGATATTTCGTTTAAAGTTTTTGTTAAACTTTAAAACCTAAGTTGCTAGACGGTCTAGTCTTTAGACGATCTTGTCTTAACAAAGCTCCACTAAGTCATTGCACGACCTAAAGTGGATAACATATTCACATACCTTATGTGTGGCCATGCATACATAAGGACATCGGGCGAGTTTTGATCGCCCACTTCAACATCAACATCCATCTGGATCTGGATTTCCTTGAAGGTGTAAATGTTTACTTCCCTTGTAGTCTCCTCCCCTAGACCTTGTTTCCCTACCATTCCTTCTTCCTTGATCGAATCTTTATTCAGAGGTTAAATAGGTGTCATAACACTATTTACAAACACTAGACCCTTCTCGGACGACCCCCCCCCCCCCAATCACTTCACGATGATCAGAGTGCCGACAAAAACACAAATACATCATCAGTGAACCCCTTGCCCACTCAAACAAAGGAGCTTGCTGAAGAGATTTCGATGGTAAACTATTTATTACCTTGAGCAAAAAGAATAGATAACCGAATGATGTTGAGATGAGCGTCAAAGCAAAAATGATGAAAATGACGGGACCACTTGGCCCCTATTTATAGAAATTCTCAAGGACACATAGCACCCGCACAACCGTGAAGTATGATATCATTCAAATCCAAAGGACGATGGAACTCTTCATCTTCGACGTTAGTGTTAGTAGTATTTTGTTAATGTTTTGGATTGGTTTTAAGTGCATTTTTGGGGTTTGGAGTAGTGAGATATTGAGTTATAGGTTATGAGTCACATTAGTCAGTTTAAAGGTTATTGGTAAGTCATATATCTAACTTGTTAGAGTCCCTAAGCTACTTAAAAATGAGTTAAAACATGTAGATTTCAATTTTGATCTCTAAGTTGAGATTTTAGTTATTTTTGTGGGGGATATCTTGTTGTAAACAGTTGATTATTAGTGTAAGATAGGTTATACATTTTAGTTTAAGTCTAAAATAGTTTATAATTCAATCTAGGAGTGTTAGAAATTGGAAAAAGTGGTTAAAAGAGGTAATTAGTGGTTTAGAAGTGCTAATTTTGCAGTTATAGTGCTTCAGAATTATGCAGTCCGACAGGGCGAGCAAAATTGGCTAGCTGGGCGAGCATAATTTGCTAGCTAGGAGAGTTTTTGGGGTTTTTAGCAGAGATTTGTAGTGGCTGAGCGAGCCAGTTCACTCAACTTGAGAAACTTGTTGTTTTGCCTCTAGTTGGGCAAGCAAAGTGTGTTAGCTGGGCGAATGGAATTGTTTTCTTAAGTGTTTTTGAATCCTTTTACCTCTGTGTATGGTTTTAAAAGATATATTGGTTTATTGTATGGAATGAGGCGAGTAAGAATCCTAAGGAGGGTTCTTAATGATTGTATCAAAGTGTTATTGTTTGTATAAAGGTAGGAAGCTAAGTATTGATGGTTTATCCTGACGCTCTCAATAACCTTAATCTCAAGTAGAGATAGATGGTAATGTCATGGAGAGTAGCAGGAGCTTCTAGTTAGGGGCTTTACCTTGGCTAAAGACTTTTATTAAGGACTAACATTGTGTGGTAGCTTGGGGGTGAGCCAACAATATTACCACTACAAGTGCATGAATCACCATAGTTTGACATTCATATTATATGCGGAAGAGTCAAGTCTAAGTTTGTGATATGTTTAGGATGAATGTTTTATTATGTGTGTAATATAATATATGATGAAATTTTATTTGATTATGATGAACTGTTTTACCACTAACTTACCCTTACTTTTGTGTTGTTTGTGTGTGTATTGTTTTTTTCTTTTGCAATGATCACCTAAATGGTGTGAGCTTAGGGAGACTTCTTTTCAGTTATTTAAGTAAGAGATAATAGTGAAGCAAATGAGTTGTTAGATAATCCCACAGACGTTGATCTCTTGCATTTTTGTGAGTTTGTTTCATCTAGTTGTTCTATTATCATATTTGTAATATTTTATCATAGTAGTCTTATACTATTAAAATGGGAAGTTACATTACGTCAAAATTCAAAAACTAAAAACATATTTAACTAAAAAAACTAAATTCAAAAACTAAAAACATATTTAACTAAAAAAACTAAAATGTTCTTACAATTAAAAAATACTAGTGATTTGAAATTTTTCTGTAGGAAAATGTTATCATTATTCAATGGATCTCTTTATTTCTTTTATATATAACAATTAAGAGAAGCTTTTGCAACATATTAGAAAATATAACGAAACAAAAATATTTAGAAAATTTATGCATATAGAAAACAATGACCAAAGTGACAAGTGAGTTAATTATTTTCCACAATAATTACGAAAATGCTATCATATTTTCAATTTTTCCATTTTAAATGCACCAAAAAATATGAAACGGACTCGATAAAATTTCCCAAAAAAAAAAACTCAAATAGAAAATATGTATTTTCCAAATACAAAATAAACATGTTTGTAGTCTTGTTTTCTAGTTTGATTAATAGTAAATTGCACAGCCCCTAAATAACACAAATTAAGTTAACTAAAACAGTAGGGAAAATTTGAATAAAAACTCAGTTTATTTTTAAATGGATTGATAAAGAGCTTATTTCATAAAGTAAGTTATCTAAATGTGTAAATTAGTTCAAAACCTTCATTTCAAAATATGTTTTTATATTTTGATAATTAATTATATTCTGAGTTTGGTTTAAGATTCACTAACCCAGATGACGTCTTGGTGCTACCCTACTGTTCTTTGGCCAACTAATAGTTATTTGGAAAAATGACAACATTAGTACACACTAAGAACTAGGTTACTGGCCCAGCTAGTTGTACTAGTACTGGTGGTACTACCTCCTCTGCAATCATAACATTACCATGAAAATGGTCCTCAATTTTATCTCACTGTACAGATTTTTGGATTATGATAATTTGTGGGGAAAAAGAAACCGAGTACTTAAAAAGGTTAGTGTGTAAGGGGAAGGGATTCTTTTACTGTCCTTTTAAAAAGATATCAGTATTTTAAATCATTAATATTATACAAACTAACTAAGTTATACAAATACCTAATTTTCTATAAATATATTACTTTTATTATTCAATATGTTTTTTTTTTCAAACCAGAGGAAATGAAGATAAGTAGTTCCCTTAGTCTTATAGTTAGATTCCTTATTAATTAGTTATTCTTTTTGTAATTCCATTTTCCATTTTTGAATTCATAATTTGAGGAGAGAACTCAATATTTTAAGAACTTTTCTGAAAGATAATGTAAAAAAGCAGTTTACTTCTCTAAACAAATTATTAGGTTCATGATTATTTTATTTTAATCTAGGGTTTGAATATTTTATTAGGTTCATGACATGCCTGGACTGCAAATAAAATCTCACACCATGAATATTATTATACCGTCCACATTCTTTCATATACAAACGTAACACATTTCTTTTTTTATACAGTAAATAATCTGTTTTAATAGAATATATTTAATTTTTGTTTAATAGTACGATAGAATTGAAATGAGTCACCTGTTTGAGTAATTAAAATACACTCAAAGAACGCAATAAAATTACATATTTAGTTCAACTAAGAGCAGTTGTGTGCTCTTAAATGTTGTGAATAGCTCTCAAAATTATAGTTGCTAATTTTGATAAATATTTTAAGATAACCTTTCTTTCTCAATCCTTTTTGCTTAAATAAGAACTTAACTTCTACAAGACAATACTTAATTATACTTAACATTTAAAAAATAAATATATAATAATTATTTATGTTAATTTTTATATAAAAAATCATGTTGGTAAAATAGTTTCATGAATTTATTTAACATAAAAGTTAAAAAAATAATGAAATTCAATATATATATATATATATATATATATATATATATATATAATTCATTACTTAAATTTTAATAATTTAACAAAGTCACTACAAAACGAAAACAATTTCAAGGTTCGAATAAGAAAATGATAAATAAATATGTTTTTGAATATCGTATGAATTTGTTCTGATTTTGATATAGAATCCTCCACTTACATATCAATTTCTTAAATACAAAATAGTAAAATATTTTACTGATAAAAATACAAAAACAACAAAACCAATTATGAAAGAAACAAATTCACAGCCAAGTACATACATATATATGTATTTGTTTTTAAGAAAAGAAGAATTAGAATATGATTCAAAATTCTCTCTCATTTGTCCAATCATCCCGTTGTAATGTCAACCGGATTCCGGTAATCACCATTGTTCGTACCCTTCTAACCGTTTCATATATAAAATCACTTAACATCCAACCCTCTCTTTTGCAAATAAACCTATATTTCTGAGTCATATTTTTTATATTCAGCACGTAACTCAAGAAGCTAGCATAGCTCACAGGTTCAAACAAGTCTGCAATTTGACAAGAAGAAATAAAGGCTTGCCATGGCTGAAGAGTTTCAAGCTAGAATTTGTGGTGAAAACTGGTGGAGTAGTTCTATTGATTCATCACCGATTGCTTCTTCTCCTTGTTCCGTGGCAGCTCATAATGATGCAGGAATCTACAGCACTCGTCAAACAGATTTGAAGGCAACCAAGTGCTGTGTTGAAGAGACTAACAATTTGCTTTCCAACACGTACCTGGGTTTTGCTGATGCACAGAAGTCACCCAAGAGTGAATCAGCCAGAGGAAGTGACAGCTTGTTGATCGATTCCACCTTACAGATGATGGGTTTTGGCCTTACATCTTCAGCATCAGACAATTGGAATCAACATCTATTAGTGTAAGACATCGCCAAAAGTAATATGTATATGATCATATATGCTTTACTTTTGCTAACATTTTCTTCTGAGAGAGAATTTTAATTAAATTTTTTATGTAATATATGTGTGGGTGGAAGGTTTGTGGTATATGGTCCAGCACTTCCACTAGGGTTGAAAAAGGTTTATTTCTCTTAACTTTTTCTGGTTGATTTCATTTGAAAAAGGGAACTTGATCTTATCAAAGCATATATAGCTTATACTATAGCTCTCAATTGTTTCTTTAGCTATTGGATTCTCCTAATCATGACCATATATTTTATCTTCTTTTTTTTTATCCCATAGTCGATGCAATGGAAGGGCAGAGAGCAATTTTGATTCCGTGCTTCAGGAAGAAACGGGAATAGATTCTTCTAATTCACAAATCCGCAGGAATTGGAACCCAAAGAGCTTCTCCTGTGCTGGTGGAGGACACCAACAAATTGATAATTTCAAGCCATTGAATCAAGAATTTTCAGTAGATTACCAGAATCTATGTTCGTTAACCAGCAATGGGTTATCATCAAATCGTGATTTTGCAATTGGATCAGCCTCATATGGTAACCCTTCACCGTTACGAAGCTTATATGAACCTGATCCTCATCCACAATTACCACAGCACTCACTTTTCACCAACCATTCAATGTCCTATTCATCAAAAGCAAGTTATGGGACACCCTGCACTGAACTAACGCCAACATGGTCTAAAGTCACTACTTTTCTGAAGCCCACAACTATAGCAAAGCAACACCCTATTGGACTTCACTTTTCTAACAACACCACTTTCTGGAGTGCTTCCGCCGACGCACTTAACGACATAAGAGCAGGTACCTTTGCTTCATCACAATCACAATATCAAACGCCAACTTTCGATCAAGAGAAACCCAATTGCCCAAGTATTCTATTAAACAAGGTACGTTTATGTTTCAGTTAATACAGTTTTTCATGTTTATATATCCATATCTCTAGCTAGCTAGGGTTTTCTGCTGAGCACTGTAATTGATAAATATATACTGAAGTGCAGCTCAACAGTGAAGAAACTCTAGATTCGGCAACAATGGCGAAGAAAGATGCTTGTGAAGCAGCATTAAAGAGGCCAAGGATTGAAACTCCGTCCCCATTACCGACTTTTAAGGTATTGTACTGTTTTTGTTTACTGCAATTCAACTTTCTTTCTTTTTTCACTATGCAACATTGTTCAACCTTTATAATAATTTCACTTTAGATTTTAATCAACTTGACATGTATGGACAGGTTCGGAAAGAGAAGCTAGGGGACCGGGTCACTGCTCTTCAGCAATTGGTTTCACCTTTCGGAAAGGTGAACATTTTCGGATATGTCTCTTTCACTTTTATTTTTTTTTTAATTTACCCTGGAGCTACGACTACGATAGAATCGAGACCTTTACTTTCTTAGAGCACATTGAATGGTAAAAATGTAAAAACTCAGATATTTTATTCTTGTTCATCTCAACAGACCGACACCGCATCCGTTCTTCACGAAGCCATCGAGTACATCAAGTTCCTTCATGATCAAGTCAATGTATGTTTCCATTCATCCAACATTGTTTTGAAGAAAACCCTAATAATTGAGTACCATGTAGAAATCTTCAATAAGAAAATGGTTTTATTGTAAGACCCTTTTTATGCTTTGTTTTAAATATTATCTTCACATGAATTACAGGTTTTGAGTACCTCATATATGAAAAACGGAGCTCCCATCCAACCGCAGCAGGTACTAAAAACATGATTATAGTATATATATATATATATATTCCTTTACCAAAAATGTCTTCTAGCAATAGTAGGTAATATACTAATATTAGTATTGCATTTTTTATATCATTCTTTAATGAAAACTATAGATTGTAATATAGGAATCCTAAACTATTGGTTCTTTCACGTTATTCAATGAAAACAAGGAATGTGTAATAATTTTAAATTATGTGACATTATTTTAGTTCTAAATAACTGTAAAACATGTAACTAATAATTTTAAATGATGTGACATTACTTTAGTTCNACCCCCCCCCCCCAATCACTTCACGATGATCAGAGTGCCGACAAAAACACAAATACATCATCAGTGAACCCCTTGCCCACTCAAACAAAGGAGCTTGCTGAAGAGATTTCGATGGTAAACTATTTATTACCTTGAGCAAAAAGAATAGATAACCGAATGATGTTGAGATGAGCGTCAAAGCAAAAATGATGAAAATGACGGGACCACTTGGCCCCTATTTATAGAAATTCTCAAGGACACATAGCACCCGCACAACCGTGAAGTATGATATCATTCAAATCCAAAGGACGATGGAACGCTTCATCTTCGACGTTAGTGTTAGTAGTATTTTGTTAATGTTTTGGATTGGTTTTAAGTGCATTTTTGGGGTTTGGAGTAGTGAGATATTGAGTTATAGGTTATGAGTCACATTAGTCAGTTTAAAGGTTATTGGTAAGTCATATATCTAACTTGTTAGAGTCCCTAAGCTACTTAAAAATGAGTTAAAACATGTAGATTTCAATTTTGATCTCTAAGTTGAGATTTTAGTTATTTTTGTGGGGGATATCTTGTTGTAAACAGTTGATTATTAGTGTAAGATAGGTTATACATTTTAGTTTAAGTCTAAAATAGTTTATAATTCAATCTAGGAGTGTTAGAAATTGGAAAAAGTGGTTAAAAGAGGTAATTAGTGGTCTAGAAGTGCTAATTTTGCAGTTATAGTGCTTCAGAATTATGCAGTCCGACAGGGCGAGCAAAATTGGCTAGCTGGGCGAGCATAATTTGCTAGCTAGGAGAGTTTTTGGGGTTTTTAGCAGAGATTTGTAGTGGCTGAGCGAGCCAGTTCACTCAACTTGAGAAACTTGTTGTTTTGCCTCTAGTTGGGCAAGCAAAGTGTGTTAGCTGGGCGAATGGAATTGTTTTCTTAAGTGTTTTTGAATCCTTTTACCTCTGTGTATGGTTTTAAAAGATATATTGGTTTATTGTATGGAATGAGGCGAGTAAGAATCCTAAGGAGGGTTCTTAATGATTGTATCAAAGTGTTATTGTTTGTATAAAGGTAGGAAGCTAAGTATTGATGGTTTATCCTGACGCTCTCAATAACCTTAATCTCAAGTAGAGATAGATGGTAATGTCATGGAGAGTAGCAGGAGCTTCTAGTTAGGGGCTTTACCTTGGCTAAAGACTTTTATTAAGGACTAACATTGTGTGGTAGCTTGGGGGTGAGCCAACAATATTACCACTACAAGTGCATGAATCACCATAGTTTGACATTCATATTATATGCGGAAGAGTCAAGTCTAAGTTTGTGATATGTTTAGGATGAATGTTTTATTATGTGTGTAATATAATATATGATGAAATTTTATTTGATTATGATGAACTGTTTTACCACTAACTTACCCTTACTTTTGTGTTGTTTGTGTGTGTATTGTTTTTTTCTTTTGCAATGATCACCTAAATGGTGTGAGCTTAGGGAGACTTCTTTTCAGTTATTTAAGTAAGAGATAATAGTGAAGCAAATGAGTTGTTAGATAATCCCACAGACGTTGATCTCTTGCATTTTTGTGAGTTTGTTTCATCTAGTTGTTCTATTATCATATTTGTAATATTTTATCATAGTAGTCTTATACTATTAAAATGGGAAGTTACATTACGTCAAAATTCAAAAACTAAAAACATATTTAACTAAAAAAACTAAATTCAAAAACTAAAAACATATTTAACTAAAAAAACTAAAATGTTCTTACAATTAAAAAATACTAGTGATTTGAAATTTTTCTGTAGGAAAATGTTATCATTATTCAATGGATCTCTTTATTTCTTTTATATATAACAATTAAGAGAAGCTTTTGCAACATATTAGAAAATATAACGAAACAAAAATATTTAGAAAATTTATGCATATAGAAAACAATGACCAAAGTGACAAGTGAGTTAATTATTTTCCACAATAATTACGAAAATGCTATCATATTTTCAATTTTTCCATTTTAAATGCACCAAAAAATATGAAACGGACTCGATAAAATTTCCCAAAAAAAAAAACTCAAATAGAAAATATGTATTTTCCAAATACAAAATAAACATGTTTGTAGTCTTGTTTTCTAGTTTGATTAATAGTAAATTGCACAGCCCCTAAATAACACAAATTAAGTTAACTAAAACAGTAGGGAAAATTTGAATAAAAACTCAGTTTATTTTTAAATGGATTGATAAAGAGCTTATTTCATAAAGTAAGTTATCTAAATGTGTAAATTAGTTCAAAACCTTCATTTCAAAATATGTTTTTATATTTTGATAATTAATTATATTCTGAGTTTGGTTTAAGATTCACTAACCCAGATGACGTCTTGGTGCTACCCTACTGTTCTTTGGCCAACTAATAGTTATTTGGAAAAATGACAACATTAGTACACACTAAGAACTAGGTTACTGGCCCAGCTAGTTGTACTAGTACTGGTGGTACTACCTCCTCTGCAATCATAACATTACCATGAAAATGGTCCTCAATTTTATCTCACTGTACAGATTTTTGGATTATGATAATTTGTGGGGAAAAAGAAACCGAGTACTTAAAAAGGTTAGTGTGTAAGGGGAAGGGATTCTTTTACTGTCCTTTTAAAAAGATATCAGTATTTTAAATCATTAATATTATACAAACTAACTAAGTTATACAAATACCTAATTTTCTATAAATATATAACTTTTATTATTCAATATGTTTTTTTTTTCAAACCAGAGGAAATGAAGATAAGTAGTTCCCTTAGTCTTATAGTTAGATTCCTTATTAATTAGTTATTCTTTTTGTAATTCCATTTTCCATTTTTGAATTCATAATTTGAGGAGAGAACTCAATATTTTAAAAACTTTTCTGAAAGATAATGTAAAAAAGCAGTTTACTTCTCTAAACAAATGATTAGGTTCATGATTATTTTATTTTAATCTAGGGTTTGAACTCTATGTGTTCAAATGATGACATGCCTGGACTGCAAATAAAATCTCACACCATGAATATTATTATACCGTCCACATTCTTTCATATACAAACGTAACACATTTCTTTTTTTATACAGTAAATAATCTGTTTTAATAGAATATATTTATTTTTTGTTTAATAGTATGATCGAATTGAAATGAGTCACCTGGTTGAGTAATTAAAATACACTCAAAGAACACAACAAAATTACATATTTAGTTCAACTAAGAGCAGTTGTGTGCTCTTAAATGTTGTGAATAGCTCTCAAAATTATAGTTGTTAAGTTTGATAAATATTTTAAGATAACCTTTCTTTCTCAACCCTTTTTGCTTAAATAAGAACTTAACTTCTACAAGACAATACTTAATTATACTTAACATTTAAAAAATAAATATATAATAATTATTTATGTTAATTTTTATATAAAAAATCATGTTGGTAAAATAGTTTCATGAATTTATTTAACATAAAAGTTAAAAAAATAATGAAATTCAATATATATATATATATATATATATATATATATATAATTCATTACTTAAATTTTAATAATTTAACAAAGTCACTACAAAACGAAAACAATTTCAAGGTTCGAATAAGAAAATGATAAATAAATATGTTTTTGAATATCGTATGAATTTGTTCTGATTTTGATATAGAATCCTCCACTTACATATCAATTTCTTAAATACAAAATAGTAAAATATTTTACTGATAAAAATACAAAAACAACAAAACCAATTATGAAAGAAACAAATTCACAGCCAAGTACATACATATATATGTATTTGTTTTTAAGAAAAGAAGAATTAGAATATGATTCAAAATTCTCTCTCATTTGTCCAATCATCCCGTTGTAATGTCAACCGGATTCCGGTAATCACCATTGTTCGTACCCTTCTAACCGTTTCATATATAAAATCACTTAACATCCAACCCTCTCTTTTGCAAATAAACCTATATTTCTGAGTCATATTTTTTATATTCAGCACGTAACTCAAGAAGCTAGCATAGCTCACAGGTTCAAACAAGTCTGCAATTTGACAAGAAGAAATAAAGGCTTGCCATGGCTGAAGAGTTTCAAGCTAGAATTTGTGGTGAAAACTGGTGGAGTAGTTCTATTGATTCATCACCGATTGCTTCTTCTCCTTGTTCCGTGGCAGCTCATAATGATGCAGGAATCTACAGCACTCGTCAAACAGATTTGAAGGCAACCAAGTGCTGTGTTGAAGAGACTAACAATTTGCTTTCCAACACGTACCTGGGTTTTGCTGATGCACAGAAGTCACCCAAGAGTGAATCAGCCAGAGGAAGTGACAGCTTGTTGATCGATTCCACCTTACAGATGATGGGTTTTGGCCTTACATCTTCAGCATCAGACAATTGGAATCAACATCTATTAGTGTAAGACATCGCCAAAAGTAATATGTATATGATCATATATGCTTTACTTTTGCTAACATTTTCTTCTGAGAGAGAATTTTAATTAAATTTTTTATGTAATATATGTGTGGGTGGAAGGTTTGTGGTATATGGTCCAGCACTTCCACTAGGGTTGAAAAAGGTTTATTTCTCTTAACTTTTTCTGGTTGATTTCATTTGAAAAAGGGAACTTGATCTTATCAAAGCATATATAGCTTATACTATAGCTCTCAATTGTTTCTTTAGCTATTGGATTCTCCTAATCATGACCATATATTTTATCTTCTTTTTTTTTATCCCATAGTCGATGCAATGGAAGGGCAGAGAGCAATTTTGATTCCGTGCT